AGAGCATGACCTAAACCTGGCTGGTTGAAAAAAATTGATGCACTTTGGAAAGACAAGAATTTAACAAGAATTATTGAGATCTGATCACGTGAAAAAATGAAATTAAAATACTCTAGAGTATTAGACATTTTGCTCAACAGAAAGTTGTTTTTTTAACAATGTAAAACTGTGAAATAAATAAATAAACGAAACAGCTTCCCTTATCTATTCGCCTTTTGTCTAGAATTCGTCTATGTCTTGTGTCTTTCTGTTCATATTACATATATTATATTTCATATCATTATTATATTATTTTTATCAATATAAGCTACACAATTGGCCACTCACTTTTATTTCTCCCTGTTACACGCATCCTCTCTGAACCGTCCCTACTCCCTCTGTGTGTGTGAGTGTGTCGCTTTCCCTACTCAGTGGTGGAGTGCGAGAAGTTTATGCTGCAAGTGGCGCATTCTCGCGGCGTTGCACTCGAGCGTCGGGTGCATGCAGCGGAAGCAACAGAGACGCTAAACGCGAAGTAATTGAGGTCTCGCTTTTCAGTTTGGAACTCTGAAACTAACGTTCAGAAGCAGCCTGTATGTGCCCAAGTACCGCAAGGGAGCTTTCGTCGCAATGCCAGAAAGATAACCATCACCATCTAAAACATTTACAGCGAAGAAGAAGGAACAGTAACTGTAACAAGTTCCGACTGCGTCGCTAACATACATCATTATACTAAGGACTCTAAATATATTCATATCGCATGTGTTAAGTGTTCCGAACAAGAGTGAATTTGATTCTTATTGTGTGACATCGTTGTGTTACGCCGCATTCATTTTCTGACTATCACGTAATATATTAGCGAGCGCTTTCGTAATTATAAGTTTAAAAGAACAAATATTGGGACAACCATACAAATCACATTTACACTATTCATTTATACGATTTGGTAGATAGACAATATACACTGATCAAATGTAGGTCAGGTCCAAAATGGTGTTATGGTGTAGTCGTGTTTTTCATGAGGGGGCTAGCCCCCCTTGTTGTTTTGTGTGGCACTATCATGGCACAGGCCTACACGGATAATTTAAATACCTTCTGGCTTCCCAATGTCAAAGAGCAATTCGGGAATGGCGATTGCATCTTTCAACACGATCGAGCACCTGTTCATATTGCATGGCCTGTGGCGGAGTGGTTACACGACAATAATATCCCTGTAATGGTCTGGGCTGAACAGAGTTCTGACTGGAATCCTAACGAACAACTTTGGGATGTTTTGGAACTCTGTCTTCGCCCCAGGTCTCGCCGACCTGCATCGATACTTTTCCTCAGTGCAGCACTCTGTGAAGAATGGGCTGCCATTCCCCATCCTGCAGAAGAGAAATTTCCAGCATCTGACTCAAAATATGTCTATGAGAGTGGAATCTGTCATCAAGGCTAAGGGTAGGCCAACACCCTATTGAATTCCTGCATTACCCATGGAGGGCGCTACGAACGGGTGAGTCATTTTCATCCTCGTGCCCGGATACTTTTAATCACATAGTATATTTAATTCACCAAAATGTAAACTTCACAGGACAATTTTACAAAACAATCCTCATTGATAATTCTTTTCTGATTTGTTTGACATCTTCACAAATTAGTTATCTGAAGTGAAGAATTTACACGACAAATATTTTGAACGATTTGTGTGCGAAGTTTCACTTCAATGGTTCGCGAAAAACAAAAAAAAACCTTCATTGATAGTAAACGTTTAATGAACCTAAGTAGAAATTAATTCACAATTCTCACGACTGCCAGTACAGACACTACTCTTAAAAGAACCGATTATATTATGTTAGAGAATAGTAGACAAATTTGCAATAGTGCATTATCATAACAACTACCTATGTAACAATTTTTGTAACCCGCTTTCTCATCTTAAGATGAAATTGGACAATACTTATACAATGATTTGCCAATGCTAAAGATTATAATGATCCCAAAAACAATTTCATAGTTTACATATGAAACTGTTTCTCCTACCTCCAACCTTAATACTGACAAACCTTCCAACCTACAAACTTGAAAGTAACGGTTACCCGATGGCAAGTGCTGTAAGACATTTCCAATTCAGAAAAAAAAATAATTTCCAGAAACTAGGATCTTAAGTAGTTTTGCCTATCAACTATTTGTATTCTTAGCATTTACATCATGTTGTTGCTAAAATGTGTTAAAATCGTTCTTTTCTTTTACAAAATATACAGAAATATCCAAACTCTCTGTTCTAAAAGAATATAGTTTAAAATATGCATTCATTATTTATATACAATAAATCTCTCCGGATGTTAAACCATTCAGCCAGGAAATAAAAACAAAGGATTCGGGAAAGATATTAATATCAGAAACACTGGTACAAATGACGCACGTATGTGCGATGATGACATTTTATGACACTAACGTGAAAAATGAATTCTAATGTATATGCAACAAAATGTTTGAAGATAACAGATGTACTACCATACATGTAAAGTACAAGAAATATACAATCAACTGTATCTTCAGATACATAAATATCATGCTGGCTGGTGTGGATCGTCTTTAAATGAAGCAAACAGTGCGTAGAAAATTGCCTTATGGTAACTTCATCTTGCATAACTGATCCAAATTAGTTAATTGATAGATCCCACGTTAGTATCATGCCAGTGGATTCTATGCATGCGATTTTATTTATGATGGTCAGTCAATGAAACGAGAAATACTGAAAACCTGTAATGGAGGGGGTGTTGCTGAAGCAGGTAGGAGTGTGAATTGAAGTGCCCTCTGTCGAGAATCAGGTAGAATCAGCGCAAATGTTCTCCGTTCATCCATTTGCATGTTAGATACTTGACCCTCATAAATAAAATTGCATGCATAGAATCCACTGGCATGATACGAACTTGGGATCTATCAACTAACTAATTTGAGTCAGTTATACAAGATGAAGTTACAGTAAGGCAATTTTCTAGGCACTTTTTGCTTCATTTAAAAGCGTCACCACACAAATTCACACCAGCATATTTCTGTATCTGAAGATACAGGTGCTTGTATATTTCTTGTACTTTACATAATAAAAGTAGATACTTGAACTGAGGTCAGAAAGTCAGTGCGTCTCAGACATCACTTTGGTGGCCGGCAAAGAGGAACAGTGGGTAGTGCATTTTTGACAGCACAAGGAGTATCATAAGGTGAAATTCATGCCAGAATGTATGTTGTTTGCGATGAACACAGTGGAAAAATTTAAAAAGCGCGTTACCAAAACTGAGCGCACAAGAATGTTGACTGATGGCATCATTCTGTTGCACTATAATGCCTACCCACACGGTAGTTTCGACTACGTGTGGTTTCAAGGTAGTTTCGACTACGCTGCAGAAGTTCCGCTGGGAAACTCACACATCCTCAATACCATCCAGATCTATCTCCATGCGGTTTTCAAATTTTGGGAGACGTGAAGATATTCATGGCCTTCGATTTGTTTCGGACGAAGAAGTTCATTCCTGACTGCAATCATTGTTCCGTAGGAAGCTGCAAACATGTTTTTATGATAACGCTGTCAATTTTGTCTCACAGGTGAATACGTTTATAAATACTTATGGCAGTTACTTTCAAAATAATAACTACCTAACGTTTTTCTCCATCGGTCTCGTTTTTATTTGACTGACTCCCGTAGTATTATTGCTGAACTGATTTCGACTTATCTGACTATTAAATAACAAAGTTATTGTGCAATAAAAATGTTATACAATTTCAAAGCTACTGTGTCTCCTTTAAAGTACTTTATAAGTATTTAGATGTACTTGGGAAGTTGTTCTCAGGAGCGGGTTGTGAGACGAGAGAAAAACATTCTCATCTTTATATGTGAATAGAATATTAAATATTTTAGGAAGTTTATTTGATAGTCATTAGGAAGTACGAAAACATACATGAAACTTACAATTAACTTTTCTCCACAGTACGTCACGCACAGTTTTTTACTGTTTTTCACGTAAATAAATAAACGAAAACAAAGTACACACCGTGAACAATTTTTTTCTTGTATTGTTGTTGGAAAATACGTGTTATTAAATAAATTATGTCGAAGGCATCCTCATAAATATGCAAAATAAACCATTTCCAGCCATCCCAATGAACAAATCTTTAATGGCGTTCATTCACTTATCGCCCGTGTCTAAATGGTATTGAGATCGAATTCCGCCTTGAGCGTCTACGTTCTATTGTTTGTATACACTTAGTCGAACAGAGCGCACAAAGATACGTATACATACGGTACGTATTACGCAAATCCCTTCGGTAAGAACGGAGTTACCAATATCTGCCCTGGGGACAGTCCAACTCTAGGAACAGGGTCCCGCATTCCCTGGTGTGCGCCATGATTATAAGAAGGCACAAATTTGCAGAAGTGGACCTAGATCAGCAACTGCTATTCTCCTCAGCGTTTGACGAGAACCGGCGTCAGGAATTTAAGAGTGCCGATGCCAGATGCCCAGTTTATCTCTCATTACCGGGAGTAATAAATTAAGTAATGCATCATTAACAAATCAATTGATATTTATTTCACATTGGGCGAGAAAACGTGTAAGACACAAATTAGAATAGCCCAACCAGCAAAATGCTTGGTACGCGTACTACGGAATACAAGGTTGTCCACTTTCTGCTGAGGCTCAGAAACGCCGAAAGCCGTCAGCTCCGGGGCGGAAGGTAGCGCAGGTTACGACGCGGCGCTTGGAAGACGAGCGTGCCCACGCGTCCGCGCAGGTCGTCTGAATGGAACGTGAAACGCTGGCACAATCGCGACGCGTTCTTCCCCACCCCCCTCGCTTCGCCCCTGCTCCCGGCCCCCGCTCCGCTCCGCCCTCGCGCCTTGGGCCTGCTCCCGCTCAATGACTCCGCTTCTGCCCCGCTCGTGCCCCGCTCCTGCCCCCGCTTCCTGACCCCCGCTCCTTTGCCCCCGCTCTGCCCCCGCTCCTGCCCCCGCTCTTGCATCTGCCCCTGGGCCCCGCATCTACCTCTGGCCCCTCTTCTGCCCCGTTCCCGCTTCCACTCCGCATTTGCCCGGCTTCTGCCCTCGCCCGCGCCCCCACACCGCGTTCATCCCAAGTTCACTTGGCACGTGATCGTCCCAGCCCGACGCCGCCCGCGACTTGTGCCCCATTCCAGCAGCGCAGAGATCCGCGCGCGACGGAACGCGCCGGAGGCAGCGGGGGGAGAGATGCCGCGCACAGCGCAGCAAGAGAGGCGGGAAAGAGCCGGGCGGACGGGTGGCGATGAAAGCGTGCGAACAGCTCCGAAAGGTGCCTTTCAGGTTTACGTGTTCCGGGAGAAGAAGAGCAAAGGCATAAAATGAAAAAAAGGGCTGAGAAGGATGGGATAGAAGTGGAAGGAGCGTTGAAGACCGGATTTGGCGAATGGATAAGGGCGCTAGTTGGCTGAAAATACGAGAGGAAAGTTGGCGTCGATTTAATGCTTATAAATACCTAGGAGGATTAGTAGGATTCGAGAGGATGATAATTCAAAATAACCACTGATATATTTGAGACTCTTCATTACATTGTTTGAAGTGATATAATCTGCAAGTATAAAACAACCCAAGTCAATATATGTTTCAACTATAAAAATAATGATACGGCAGACAAGATATTCTTCTGATCAGAATGTTGAATTTATTCACATTAAGTTATTTTAGCCACAGTGAAATTCGTGATAATATAGGATATTTATTAGGTTATTATTAATAAACAAACGAACTTTTCTTCCTGAATTGAAAATACCAATCAAATAGTTTTGGAACTTGCTAGAGCATAGTAAAAGATATATTTGATTTCTTTCCTATGAAGGTAGTAATTTGTTTTTGTTTCGTGTAATTCACTAGACGAACAATTGAAGGACTCGAGTGTTGTGGTTGCCCCGTAAACATGTCCCGTAACTGTGAAACAATAATTTTGGGCTCCTATAAACTCTCCACGTAGTTAAATTAAATATAACCATATGGGTCATAGGTGGCCTCCGGTTTTTGTTTGTGTATTTTTGTCTCTGTCATGTAACCCCCTTCAACGTTTTCAACATAAAAATGTTTACTTGGTTATATCTCGAAAGCGTTTCCGTGCGGGTTATCATGTATTACACCCGAACCCTTCAATTTACTTGACGAGAGACGACGAGAGCGGGGGTCTGTTCACACTCTGTCTAGGTTGCGGCGCACCGAGGAGCGGGCCGTCCTATATCAGCGGATGCAGCAGAGAGTCGTGTGGCCGCGCTGGGAGCGAATGAACCGGATGCTGCTGACGCAGGGCCTTGCTTCATCTTTCCGCCCTCTACTCCTCCTCCTCTCTTTCCTTCCCAGTATCCCACGTCCTTTTCCTCTCCGCTCACTTGCCTTTCCTTCCGCGAAGCACTTTGATGTCCGAATAATGGTGTAACGTGGCTGCACGCGATTTTTACTCAACTTGTAAAATTTATTACATCTTGACGCGATGCCAGGTTTTGTAAGACTCGCTAGGGAGCTGGAAGTTCCCGTCTCTTTTCATTTATTAACGTTAATTACTTTATAATTCTAGTAATTAGAAAAGTCACGAACAATTAAAAATCTTCCAGCAAGCTTGGTCTCTATTTCTCAGTCTTTGTAATTAAAGTTTGAAAAAATGATGTGTGGGGACGTGTACTGGCCTTCTACATCTCTTCAACCAACTTTTCATTTCCATAGAGGAACACTGGATAATTGATTTTTCCAACATCTTTAACAATCAGGAGTATCTCCCTCTCTCCTTTCTAAGAGAGAAAAAGAAGCAAAAAATTACAGAGCTATCAGCATAAATATGACTTAAAATGATTCCTCAAAGTGAATGTTTCGATATATTTTTAGTACTTTATTATAAAGTGGAGTGAGTTATTTCACATGGAAAAGAAAGTCTGGCATTTTTTGTAAACTTTCATTTTTAGGGGAAAATATTCTCATTAACGTGTTTCGTACATTTATATATCTCGAAATTTCAGTATTTTACTTCACGCTAATCAACTGTTTTAGAACCATTTGATACGTTTTTTCACTACGTTTCCTTTACCATCACATCTTCCTTGTCAGATCCTTTATATAATAAATCTTCATAAATGTGTCCACAAATTAAAAGAAGAGAGAATGTAAAATGTAAAACAAAATCCATACTCTATATATATTTTTTATAACTAGCTATTGGTAAACCCGTAAAATGCATTGATGAGCATGATATGTGATACATGTATGTGATGAAGTGCATGCATATTCCTGGATCTCAAACTATGGTTATTATTATTATTATTATTATTATTATTATTATTATTATTATTATTATTATTATTAGATGCGTAGTTTTTCAGATTTAATATTACTGAATATACTTACTAGTGTTTAAAAATTAGTCTGAAGATAAATTCTTCAATTTTCTTTCCCCTTAGTTTATTAAAAGTACGCGAAACTATCTGAATGACTTACGCTATTTTTTTGTAAAACCAATTATTGCAAAAAGGGCTAAAGAGGCGATAGAAATATTTGTGGTATAGTGTTAATGTACAAAAATTTTACAAATACAGGATTGAATTCTGCTGCTTAGCAATCTGAATATGCACATAATTTAAAGAACGAGGTGATTTTGGGGGGAAGAAACGAGTAGAAGAGGAACATTTTAACGATATGAGGTCTCCTCGTGAAATTTCATTACATAATTATCTTCTTAATGACTTTTTTGTTACCTATCTTTTCCCCTCCTTATGATGTATCCAATAGTTTTGTGTTCTACCACCTCATTACGTTCTTTCTTGTATCATTTACACACTTTCTTTACAGTTTTTCTGATATACATAGCAGTTAGAAAGAATTCTTTTTGATATTCCAATATCGGAAAGGAGTTTTTAAAAAGAACTCATTACTTCAAGGGTAAGGTCACGAAGCATTTTCTCTGAAAGATACTCTGCGAATACCTTACGCCGAAATGCGAGGCTCCTGAAAGTCATATTTTAGTATTAATACGATTATTACTACTTATAAAAACTAATTTATAGACTTTAATTCAGAAAAAGTGTATTTGTAACGAGCAATTATGCAATAATTAGTCGTAAAATTCTCTGAAAAAAGTTCCTTCGAGGAGACAAGAGAAAAATTATTTTCAGTAATAAAGAGAATAATTGAAATGGATATTTTCATGAGATATTATCATGTCTATGTTTCATGATATCAGTTCCTTTTCTTACATTTTATCACACGAAAAGACTTATATTGTCAATTTTTCAGCTAAAATAAATAATAAATTGTTCTTTTTTTCTTTTATCGGCGTTTCCACTTGTCAGCGGGTGCCTCTTATTTTGTGGTTCCAGCCTTCTCTATCCGACCAAAGGTCTTCGTCCATTCTTCTTTCACGCATGGCTTCCATTACTCCAGTATTCCAGGTTTTGCGAGACCTTCCTCGTTTTTTCCTTCCTGGAGGAGACCAGTCGAGGACATTCTTGGGCCACCTTCTATCTGACATTCGTCTCAGGTGGCCATACCATTACAGCATTTTACTTTCTAATATGTCCACCACCGATTCCGATTGCTGCATCTGTTTCCGAATTTCTACGTTTCTAATTTTTTCCATTCTAGAAATTCGGCAGCTCTTTCTTAATCCATCCATTTCTACTGCACATAATTTCTTTTTCGCTTGGCGTTCCGTCAAGACCCAACTCTCTCCATCATAGGTTAGAATACTTTCAATAATAGTTCGTACAATAACCTTTTTTGTTCTTACATGAATTTCCCGACTCCATAGTACCCCATTCAGCATTCTTGTAGCTCCTCTTGCCTGTTTAATGCGGTCATCAATATCTCCCATGATCAAGAAGGCAACGGAAGGTGAACGCACCAAGATACGGATAGCACAATTAAAAAGCTAAAGAAAACATATTACACCGCTGGCAAAATCGCTAGAACAGAGAAGAGACCGGCAGATGGACTCATAGGCTCATCTTGAATGTATCGAAATGGATAAGTCGCAAACACAGGTCCAAGACATTCCACTTAACGCAGGAATTCACAGGGCATAGATGTTTTAAAGCGTACCTTAAAAATTCAGACAGAAGACGCGATATGCTTCTACTGCAGCCATGAAGTGGAAGACGCCGAACATACACTGTCCATTGCCCGAGATGGGACACGCTAAGGCATCGCATGATATGGGAGGTCGTGTGTAATTCTAATCAGAAAACATAGTTACACTAATGATCTGTAACAAGGAGAAGTGGACAACAATAGCGAGATATATCACCTCCATGCTCAAGAAGAAGGAAGAAGACGAGAGAAAACAGGCATAGTTGAACCTGAATAGTACCTAGAAGTAATACAGCTGGCACCTTCCTGAAGTAATGCATAACTGTGGTTCCAGGGCGGATAACGTCAGGAACACAAAGGGTTTGTGGTTTTAGTGGGCAAGAATCTCACACTGTTAAGGAGTGCGGGCTCCTCTTCGTCTTTTGAAGATTTCCACAGTTCCCCTCGTAAAAAATTGATAGATATATAGGTACTCGAAAGACGGAGGTGTACAATATTTTAAAATAAAGCTACTGCAGAACAAATGAAAGCGGAGGAAGTGAAAAAGAAAGCCAGAGACACGCTCATGAAGAGCTGGCAAAGATGCTGAGACCTCGATGAGACAGAATGAGTGACATACAAACTAATTCCAGAACTGACCAGATGGAGAGAAACAACATACGGAGAGCTAAACTTGTACCTAACCCATGTATTGAGTGGATATGGCGACTTCAACTACTATCTACATCGCTTCGGTTACCGACAGGATGCGATGTACGGATACTGCCACCACCAGACAGATGAGGCACACCATTCCAATTTTTATTGCGGAAACTGCCAAACCGAAAGAAAGCACTAGAGGGTCTGCTAAGGGCTCAATTATTGCCAAGCAATTTGCTAACTCAAATGTTGGAAAATGAAAAAAAGGTGGTCACAAATTGAAGAATTCATAAACGTTGTCATGGTACAAAAAGAGAAGACGGAAATAAAAAATCAACATAAACTGGTGAAAGAGCTGAAGCTAAGATGGATAGATAGAGCGATAGACAGATCGACAGAGAGATTAGAGATAGACGATCGATAGATTCGGCGATGACCAAGCAAAATAGTAAAAATATGTT